TCTCCCGCGAGGGGAGAAGGTGCGGCGTTGGCTCAGTCGCTCCTTCTGATCGACTCCACCACCACCGACAGCGCGTGCGTCGCCTCCGCGAACGGCCGCCCCCCGTCGCTCCACCCGCCCTGCTCGACGTCCACCCACGCCGCCCCGCTCCCCTCGGACGTAAACGAGATCACGAGCCGCGCCCCGCTCCACCCGTCCGGAAGTCCGGTCATCTCGAATTCGAGCGAACGCGCCGATTCCTGCGCACAGCGAGCGGACACCTCGCGACCGGCGCGTCGATACCCATCGACGAGCGCCCCCGCGTGGAACCGCTCGCGCACCGCATCGATCGGCTCCGCCACGCGGAATCGCAGGCGGATCGCGCGATCGGTCTCGACCTCTCCCGCTTCCGCGTGACGACCAAGGCGCGTGAGCGAGCCCGCCATCGCGTCGGCGAAGCGGTCGACCCACCGCTCGTACGACGCGCGCAGCGTGGCCGCGTTGAGAAAACAGCGCCGCTCACGCCCTTCCTTGAGCGTGGCGACGAGTTTCGCCTCCTCGAGCACGTTCACGTGCTTCATCACCGCGAACCGCGTGATGCTGGGGAACCGCTCCGCGAGCTGCCCGACCGAACGCGGCCCAGTCTTCAGCTCGTCGAGGATCCCCCGGCGCGTGGCGTCGGCGAGGGCTTTCCAGATGGCGTCCGTGTCGTCCATGACTCGGAGTTGCGATCAGCCGAATAGCGGCGGGTAGCCCATGGCGCGCCGGATCGTGACGATCTGCCCCGTGTGCATGCCCTCGTGCCACGCGAAGGTCTTCATGATGCTCGCCGCGTTGGGCGCGAGCTCCTCGAGCCCCTCCGGGAGCGGGGCCGCGAGCTGCTCGTCGGTGAGCGAGCGGAGATAGACGATCAGCTTGGCGCGCGCGTCGTCGAGCTTCTCCATGATCTCCGTCCGCGAGAGCGGGCGTTTCGAGGCGTCGAAGTCCACATTGAAGCCGAAAACGGCGGTGCTCTCCTCGCACACGGTCGACTCACCCGAGATCGTGTCGCGGATAAAGCGGTCCGACCACGCGAGGTGGCCGGCGATGTAGTACGCGTTGTGGAAGTTCGGGATCGGCGTCGCGACGAAGTCCTCGTCGCTCAGCGAATCGAGGAAGGCGTTGAGCATCTCGCGGGAGAACTCCGCCTGCGCGATGCCCGCTTCCAGAACGGTCCGGGGATCAGTCAGCGTTGCGTTCGGCATGGTCCTTCAGTCCTTTCATGAGAATGCCCCAGCCCTCGTCGGCGCCCTTGAGGTAGTCCTCGGGCACGCCGCCGATGGCGTCGTGTTTCATCTTCAGAAGTGTTGAGTTGTCACCCGCCTTCTCCAGACGGAACTGCGTGTACGCGAGGGCCGAGGCGGTAAAGCACATCGGCCCCGAGATCTCGAGCAGGTACGGGCGCTTGATGACCTGCACGGTCGCCCAGAAATGCCCGTCGTCGTTGCCCAGGTCGCGGAAGACCCGCCCGCCGGGCCACGCCTCAAGCTTCATCCCGATGGGCTT